ATGCTTCTGGTTGTGGTCCTCGTGAACCTCAGCATTACAACTTGGAACTCAGAGGTAGAATAGCTGAGATGGCGCAGAGTATAGGAGACAGGGCCCAGGCAGTGGTAATCAAACTCAATGAGGGGACACTTGAGTTCACAGGGTAAGCTCAGAGCCAGGAGTCAAAACTCCTATATGCAGAGCGGCACCATACTTGCCCTTCCTGACTCTAGGGGTTCACAGCAGCGTGGTGCCTGGCTCTCAGCACTTCTTTATACACATGGTCTTGTGTGTGCCTAGAACTTGTGCTAGTATTTTCGCTGTGGGGTCTCTTTTGTTTGACTATGTCAAAGAAAATAATCTCAGGTCATAGATTCATGGAGCAGTTACAATCCCACTTGTACCCCACTGTAAGGAAACTTCCACTTTTTCTTATTAAACCAAACCAAACCAAACCAAACCACGGTCACCAGGTGAACAGAGCTCTGTCTTGGTAGCCTTTTTGGAGGTTGTGGCCTTGGAGCGAGAAAGGCCATGATCAGCCCTGGGCTGAGAAAACCCCTCCATCTGTATTGTCCTCTTTCTTGCCCTCCCAAGAAAATTTCAGGCTAGTGTGGAAGGCTGCCTTCTTCTCCCCACCTGCCTAGGCTGGAAAGTTCTCAGCAGTCAGCTATCCAGGTGCAAAGGGTAGCTCTTCGCTGTAGAGGGGCCAGCTGCAGTGAGGGCTGTGGGGAGGTGGGTGGTGAAGTTTAAGTCCTCATGGAGGGAAGGGGGGCCTGTGAAGAAGGAACAGCAGGTGGAGGTAAGAAGGCATGACACAGCAACAGCAGGGCTGTGAGGGAGAGGGAGAGGGAGGGGGGAGGGGGAGGGGGAGGGGGCGAGAGAGATGCTTCCAAAGATTAGTGGCAGACATGGACTGCCATGAGGAAAGACTGCTGGGCAGAGGCAAGGCAGAGAGAGTGTGGGAATTGGGAAACTGGCTTGCTGTTCTATAGAGCACTCAGGGTTCTCAGTGCTCCTGCCTAGGTACAGCTTTCCCAGGGGATCTCTCTCTCTCTCTCTCTCTCTCTCTCTCTCCCCCCCCCCCCCCGCCCCCATCTCAGCCTCAGCCTTGGTATTTCTGCTTCAGAGTCTGAGTCCTTGAAATAAGTTGGTCATTCTCTCAGTTGATAGCTGCCACTGTGGGGAGGGCATGTGGGGAGGGCATGTGGGGAGGTTAGGGAAGGAAGTGCTTCTGACTGGGACTACTCACTTTTGCTGAGCATCTTTTCCCTGCTAGGCCTGGACAGGAGACTCAGATTTCACCTTCAAGAAACGTACTGACTGAGCAAGGGACAAGAGGAAGAGAGAACTGAGATGGTGTGAGGGAAAATGTCCCATTTGGGGACAGTGGTCATAGGTGACAGAAAAGTAAAGGCCCCTGTGATGGGTGTGGCTTGTCAGTGGGAGAAGAAGCCCTGTTTACAGGTTTGCTGGCTCTGATTGGTGGCTCATGAATTATTAATTTATCAACCACTGTGCTGAGGCTGCCTGCCAGGAGTGTGCCCTGTGACCCAGGGCTTTAAAAATTAATGTGTTCATTGAGTCATTCCCTCGACTCACATTCACAGGTACCTATTACTTGCTGAGCCCAGATTCTTCACGCCACAAAGACCCAGGGGAGAAAGAGGCGTTCACATAGCACTGTTTAACTGCAGCTGGCACTGAGGGGCTAGGCAAGCAACCAGGGGATGGGGGAGATTCACATGATTTGGAGTATGTGTATGTGGGGTGTGTGTGTGTGTGTGTGTGTGTGTGTGTGTGTGTGTGTGTGTTGTACATGTGTGCTTTGGGGATGCCATGTGCTGGGATGTATGGTGGAGGTAGAGTAACTGAGAGGCAGCACCTGATCCCCCAAGGTCCATGTCATTTTAGAGTGTGAACTTGAACCTGCCAGTTCTCACAGTCATTAATTAGTCTGGCCTAGGCACTGTCTTGTACAAGGAACGACTTGGCCTTGACCAGTCGGGATGAGGAAGGGTTCTCAGTCTCAGTCAGAGGAGGGGGTGGGTCTATTCTCAGTCTGGGATGGCTAGCTGAGACAGTGCTCAGAGCATGACAGGTGTTAAGGACACAGAAGCCTGGGGGCATAAGCCCCTCCAACCCCCGAACACCTGCGCCTATACAGATTAGACTAAGCTGGGAGAAGGATGTAGGGCAGGAGTAATTGCACAAGACCAAGATGCTAAGCCAGGAGACATCAACTTCAGGGGAGCCGCCTGAGGCCCATGCTTGAGAGGTAAAGGACTAGGACCTGAGGCAGGCCAGTCAACAAAGTGAGTCAGCAAGTACTGGTCCCTCAGGCCATAGCCATTGGCTTACTTTTGAAGTAAAGGGGCCCCAGCAGGTGTCAGGCAGGACAGGACTTGTTCACCTTCCACTTTGAGGTAGCTCACTCTGGTGGCTGGTGTCCTGAACTAGATGGCAGCCTCTCCCAATGTGTTCATGTTCTAATCCCCAGACCCTGTGAAATGGGCCTTATCCGTCAAAAAAGTCTTTGCAGATGTGAGGGTAGAGGTGTTGGAATGAGGCTGTTCTAGAATATCAATGACAGGTATCCACATAACAGACAGAAGGGAGAGAGGACAGATGGAAACACACAGGGGAGGAGAGGAGGCCATGCGAACAAAGAAGCAGATACCAGAGTAACGTGGCCACAAACAAAGGTCAGCGGGTTGGGATTAGACACTAGAAGCTGGAGCAGAAAGGGAAGATTCTGTTCTAGAGACTTTTGAGGGACCATGCTCCCCTACACCCAGATTCCAGGCTTCTGTTGTGCTAGGACACCTAGTTGTGGGGCTTTGTGATGGTAGCCCCAGGACACACATGTCTCTGCTCTGCCCTGCCCCTCCTTTCCATGCTCCTTCCTGCAGCTATCGCCCATAGCTAAACCCAGCAATCTGCCTGTCACTGCAACTCCACATGGGCTTCCTGGGTGCCAGCAGGGCAGGGGTGGGCATGGCTGTGGGAGGGAACTCTTCATGCTGAGGGGTTGGTAACAGCTTGGAGGAGCAGGTGGTGACAGGGCTTCTTTGAGCCCTGGGAAGAAGAGTGTGGTGACCTGATCAACCTCCTGAGACCAGGCCCTCTCCACAGAGTCTCCCTTGGCACCCAGGCCTTCTGCCATCTCTCTGGAGTTGCCCAGCTCCACACTATCCTCTTTGTCATACAGAAGGGAGAAAGCCAAGTGAAGGTGGAGATTGCAGTGATGGTACCAGAAGGCCAGGAACAACACAGGCTATGAGAAGTTGGTGGAGTAAGGAGGAATCCTCCACTAGAGCAGTTAGAAGCCCAACCCACTAACTCTGATAACCTCTGACCAGAAGAACTGTGAGCAAATACATTTCTGTTCATTTTGACACGCACTTTGTGATCATTTTTTCAATTTATTTATTTTTATTTTATGTGTATGAGTGTTATGCCAGCATGTGTGTAAATGTACCCGGAGGACATGAAATGTCCTCGGAGGACAGAAGAGGGCATTGGATTCCCTGGAACTGTTTGTTAGCTGCCATGTGGGTGCTGGGATTTGAACCTGGGTCTTCTGCAAGAACAGCCAGTGCTCTTAACTGCTGAGCCATCTCTCCAGCCCCAGTTTGTGGTCATCTTAAAAATAAATTTTTTTGGTAATTTTTTGGTTTTGGTTAAAATTTTTTATTATTTATTTATATGTGTATGAGTGCTTTGTTTGCGTGTATGTAAGTGCACCACATTTATGCAATGCCCTCAGAAGCCAGAAGAATGCATCAGACTCCCCTGGATTCCCCTGGAACTGTAGTCACTGTCAGTTGTCAGCCACCATGTGGGTGTGGGAAACCGAATCCAGGTCCTCTGCAAGGGCAGCTAGTACGCTGAACCACTGAGCCATCTGTCCAGTCCCTGTGGTCTTTTATTACAGCAATCCCAGCATGCTATCCTGGCTGGTATGGAGAGAGAACTGGAGACCTCAATAGAGACAGGGCATCCTGAGGAAGAATGGGGCTGGGCAGGTTATGGGGACTTCTACATCATCAAGAGATCAAATCAGTCAGGCAGAAGGGATTAGGGAACAGTACATTTTTCTCTCCACATGCCCAAGGCTCTTGAATCAGGGCAATTATTTGCATGGAGCAAAATGATCTGAGTTTGTCACTAGTCTCTGTGTTCTTTTGGTGATCTATGTCCCTAACACCCGATGCACAATTTCCTGTTTGTAGAAGGCCCAAATGAAAGACAGGATGTTAAATATGTGAGTTCCATTTCCTTCAATAAGAATTTATTTAGCTTGTACTGTCTGCCAGGCTTGAAAGGTAAGCAACAACTACCTTCACAATTGATGCTGGGAAGCAGTTAAATCCACACATAAGCAGCCTTAGTGCTTCCATTAGAACAGGCCCCCTTCACCTTTTGTAAGGCATTTTCTTTGGATGTCATCTGCATGCTGGAGTCTTGCAAATCTAGATTCAGGTTTTGCAAACACTAACATTTTCCATTAGTGGCAGCTGTATACTCAGACACTGATACTCCAGAGTGCTCATAACTGCCTCTCACCCAGGGTTTGTCAGATGTTGCCTAATCTCTCCCCATCCTAAGCCACTAAGTTACATTGGATCACTAGTCCAGCCAACACCTTGGCTGGAATGGAGGGAGATGTGGCTCAACGTCTGGATAGTCTTTCATGCTTCAACCCTCAGCTATGATCTCGCTGCGCCTCGTGGAGCAACACCTCTAGTTTTTGTTCTGGGAAGGGGACAGAGTTTTCCTTTGCTCTGGGGCGGGGCATGTAGAGTCTGGCCTTGGAAGAGGGTTTCCTGGAGGCGGGGCTTAAGTTTCCTGGAGACGGGGCGTGTATTCTGAGTCCGGTTTGCGTGGACGAAGGAGAGCCCACTTACACAAGCTTCCAGGTGGGAGGGCCGCTGCGCCTGCGCCGGCGCCTGCGTGCTCAGCGGGGTCGCAGTCCTTGCGCGGCCATACTCACCCAGTGGGCGGGGCGACGGGGATACGGGGCGGGGCTGGGCGCAGTTCCCGCCAAGAGGGCCTCTTGTGACCCGGCCTGGCCGGGCCAGGTGTGGGTCCCCTGCCTCATGGAGGCTGTGCACTTCAACAGCTGCGGAGAAGGCGAGCGTGCATTTCCGAGTAACGAGGTTCATTATGGAGGCAGGTAACGTTGCCAATGAGAGGGCGGGGCTCGCGCGGAGCGCACGTGGAGGCTCAGGGTTGCGGAGCAGCACAGTCACGGCGCCGAGACCGTGGGCCCAGCACTGCCGCCTCTAGCCGTGACCTGCCTTTACCGAGGGATGGGAGGCCGGGCTCAGGACCAGGCCCCGGCTTCCTGTCCCACCCGGTTGTACAGGCGTTGAGAGTGAGGCAGACTCCAACCTCCCCTTTGCACTGTAAGACGCCCACAGCTCTAATGAGTCAGCCACGCCTCCTTGTCACACCTGCCATTGCGTTCTGGGAGCCTGGCACTTGGCCACATGGACGCTTTTGCAACACTCTGTTGGAAAGGTCCCAACATACTGAGGACCCAAGATGCATCTAGAGTTCTGAACTTTGCTAGGGTGATCCCGGTGGTGTTAGGTAACTTTCCCTGAGTGAGGCAAGAAGGCACTGGAATTTCTATAGAAATACTTTTTTTCTGTCAATAGTATCTTCTTCAGATGGCAGACAGTTAATTCCTTACAGCTCTGTGCATTGGAGGATAATGGCAGAGGAGCTTAAAGAAATGCCACAGGATTGCTAATCAGTGATTTGTAAATTGAACTTACAAGACTTGCAAAGAATATCGATGGGTTACCATCCATCCACTCGAAGGCTCATGCCAGCAGCACCATCTTATTTGGTATCTGGAATGAAGGATCCCATGTACAAATTGACTATATAACGGATGCTTAGACGTGGAAAACCTCTGTGGGTAAATGTTTGAATGACTCCTGTCTAAAATGTGTATGTATATTCTGGTCTTTTCTAGGAGCTACATACTAGTCCCCTGGAAGTTCCCCTGTCCTAATCCCTGGAACCTTCCAATGACATCTTGTGTAGCAAAGGGCATTTTGTACATGTAAAGACTCTGATATAGGGAGATTATCCTAGGCTGTTGAGGTGGTCCCATTTTCACACCTGTCAATTCGAGAGAAAGAGAGAGAGGGAGAGACAGAGAGAGAGAGAGAAAGAGAGAGAGAGAGACTGAGAGAGAGAGAAATCAGGAGATCACAGAAGGCCATATAGTGAAAAAAAGGAGTGTTAGAAAACGCTGTGCCACTAGTTTTGAGGCAGAGGAAGAGGCCAGAAGCAGAGAAATGCAAGTAGCCTTCAGGAGCTAAAAAAGGCTAGGAACCTGATTTCTTCCTGGAGCTGAAGAAAGAGGTAGCCTTTATGACACCTTGACTTGGCCCCTTAAGGCTCATTTTGAATTCTGAGCCCTAGAACTGTGAGAGTATAAATGTGTGTTGTTTTCAGCCACAGAGCTTTATTATTGTTATTTCTTACAGCATCCGTAGAGGACCAGTTCTTAGGTAGAGGATGTTGAAAACAGGCTGAGTGATGGGCTGTTGGTCACCCTTCATCTTCTTCTGTCATTTGCTGGATGTCATTTAACATTCTGCTCATTGTGCATTGGGTTTGGTTCTGTGACCCAGTACAGAGATCTAGGAGCTGTGCAGGGGTAGCTTTTCCCACCTTTTGTATTCTGTGCACTAGGAAACCAGTGCTGAGTGCAGTCTTTAACACTAACACTGGAACTTCTGACATCTATTGGATGGCTCAGAGTCCCTTTCTCCAACTCTTTTATCTTGATAGGATTTTGATTAGGTGAGCTGTGGGTTGGGTGACCTCTAGGTAAGTGTTTGCTTGACTGTAAACAGACACACAGCAGTATATTGTCTTTTCTAAGCTTCCATCTATACCCTGATGTGCCCACTGCTAACTGAGTGATAGTCTGAACTCCTGCTCGTGAGCAGGGTCCTACGCATCACATCACATCACATCACATCACATCACATCACATCACATCATCACATTACTCCACTCACTGCAGGACCTTGGTACTTCTCAGAAGTGTCAAACCTCAGAGCCCTGAGAGGCTTCCTGGAGGGCTTTTGTGTTCGAACACTGTCCTTAAGAGCTTCGCTAGCCCATTGGAGCCTGGGAAGCCTGCAGGCTTAGCAAGAGAACCAGTAGCAAGGTGCCTGGAGACTGAAAGTTCTTGGGTTGTGTAGGCCATGCACCTTGAGATCCTGGTACAGGATGGGCAGTGAACATTGCACTAAGGGACTCCCACCTGTGTTCTCTCCATAGAGGTCAAGCTGGGCATGCATTCCATTCCCATTGCGGCTACTTGTACAATTTACCAAAAGTTCTTCTGCAAGATCAACCTGGACACCTATGACCCTTACCTGGTTGCCATGTCTTCCATTTACTTGGCTGGCAAAGTGGAGGAGCAACACCTGAGAACTCAAGACATCATCAACGTGTTCAACAGGTATTGGAGTCCTGGGTGTGTAGGAGGCTATCCCATTATCCACCCTGGCATCGAGAGCACAGAAAGCTCCCTTGGGTTTTGCTCTCCAGGCACCAGAACTAGGAAAGGTTCTCTGTCATGATCTTCTGCTGCCATCCATTGTAGGGTTGGGCAGACCTGCAAGGCCCACAGGAGGAGGATGCAAAGCTGCTTAGGCAATAATCATACTCAGATCTGACAAGAAACTGAGTCTCAGTTGCCAAGGAACCTGTGTCATCTGGCTTTTTTGGTGGTGGATTGCGAAGCTGGGTCATGCAGTTGTGTTCTTGACAAGGCAAGATGTACTGGGCCCAGCTTTCAGCCTGCACCAAGATCCTGGGGCTCTGGAAATAGCCATGACATTTATGAAGTTACTAACTAGTTGTGCGTCATAGGCTTTTCCAGTAACTCTAATCATTAGGAAGCCCACTATTTTGTTCTGCCATTTTTTTATAAACAAATAACAGAAAATGTACTACCCACCCCCTAAGCCTGACAAGTTCACAGTATACAGGGGGAGACTAAGACAGAAACAGGAGCAGAACTGAGGGCGGGCGACTGGAGTCCGCCTGTAATTGCCTGGCCCCCAGCAGGGAGGCGCAGCACAAGGGGAAATTGTGTGGAGCCTTAATTAGATGTGGGCATGGGGAGGGATGTAGGGTTCTGTGGGTAAACGAGTAAGCAGCGTATAAGGATGAGTCATGACACTGAGTTCTGAGCATGGTGTGAAATTGGTGTTCATATCTGTCTTGGAGGCTTTTCACAGGTTGGAGGTTGTAGACCTGCAGAGCATAAAAAAGAACAGAAAGATCTGGAAGGAAGGAAGGACACTATGAGAAACAGGAAACTAAAACATGAACATTCACCTTTTAGTATATGCTCTTCTAGGCTCTATGTTCCCTGGGCCCAGAGTAAGAGCCTTGGATGTTGCACTTTAGACAGAAAGGGCCTTCTTTATATGCTGGAGCCTCTGGTTTCTCTGGAGACATTGTATAGGGCAACAGACAGCTCTTTGGGTTAAAAGTAAATACCACCTTCTTTTCTATGTCACAGTTTCTGTGGTGTATGCTAGACATGCTGATGAAGAATCATTTTATAAAAACATCAATGACTGCATGTTAACCTACTGCAGGATACTTTTTATTAGTGTATGTTATATCCATAATAATGGGTTTCATTATGGGATTTTATACATGTATGTATATATATTTATTTTAAAATATTTTACTTATTATTTTTATTTTATGTGTATGAGTGTATCGCCTGCATGTATGTGAGTGCACCCTTGTCATGCAATGCTGCAGAGGTCAGAAGAGAGCTTCGGATTCCCCTGGAACTGGAGTTAAGGACAGTTCGTAGC